CAGATGCGGCCATCATGAGGGGAACTTAAGTACAAAGCTTGGAAGAGGAGTACGTTGACAAATACGCCGCTGGCAAGAGAAACGAAGGAGATAATAGGCTAGCTACAATGGTGGAAACGAACAAATTGTTCGTTGGCAACACCCGATTGCAAGAAGATGGGGAAGGTGCTGGACTTGGACTGTACCAAATGCAAGAGGGACGAAAATGCCTACATCTTGCTCGATGCGAGGTGAATTCTAAGGGACGTTTCTGTAGCATTCTCTTCAAAAACGGGAAGCGATCACCTCATAAATGAATAAACAGAGGCGCGTACCAGGGAAGCCGATGCGATCACGCGTTTTGTGCAATTCCGTCCACCGAACGATTACCTGCTAATGATTTTCACTATTTTGCACTTTGATCTGTGCAAAAGTAGTTGAAATGTTGTTTGGTTCTTAAGTTGCAGAATTTCCCGCTAAAAATTTTGCGTACACGAGATAATAATTTCTCTATCAAAACTTTCATGGGGTCGTGCGTGACACCTAGAAGTGCGTGAAGGCTGAATTCAAATTTGCGAGGTCGTACGTTGGTAGAGGAGATCACCCTAAAATCTCAGATTCCCAAACTTCGCGGTCCCCGAGATAATAATTTTCCCGCCAAAACTTTCACGGGGCCGTAAGTGATACTTGGACGCGCGGGAAAGCTGAATTTAAAATCGCAGGATTGCATGTGGACAGAAGACAGTACCGTAATATTTCAGCTTCCTGGCTTTTATGGTTCCCGAGATAATTACCTGCCAAAATTTTCAGTGGGCCGTAGGTAACAGCCGAGAGCGCGGAACGCTGAATTTGAATTTGCAAGATCGTGCGTGGATCACTGCCATAAATTTCAGCTTCCTAGATTCCGTGGTTCTCGAGATAATTTATCCGTCAAAAGTTTCACGAGGCCGCATATGTTACCCACGAGCGCGGAAAGGCTGAATTTAAATTTGAGAGAAGTCGTAATTGGGCTGAGAGCATATCCATAAAATTTAAGCTTTCTAGATTTCGTGGTTCCCGAGATAAAAATTTACCCATCAAAAATTTCACGAGGCCATATATGTTACCCGCGGGAACGGAAAGGCTGAATTTAAATTTTTTAAGCTACGCGTGGGCAGGCAACACAACCGTAAAATTTCAGCTTCCTAGCTTCAGTGGTCCCCGAGATAATAATTTACCCACCAAAATTTTTACGGGGCCGTAGATGACACCCGACAGCACGGGAATGCTGAATTTGAATTTGCAAAGTCGTGCTTGGGCAGGGGATCATTACCCTAAAATTTCAGCTTCGTAGACTCCGTGCTCTTCGAGATAATAATTTACCTGCCAAAATTTTCACGGGGTTAGTGTTACTCGCGGATGAGGGAAGACTGGATTTAAATTTCTGGGTAGCACGTGGGCAGGGGACATGCCCACAAAATTTCAGCCTTTTAGATCCCGTGGTCCCCGTGATAATTTTACCCGCCCAAATTTTTACGGGGCCGCACGTGTTACCCGCGGGTACAGGGAGGCTGAATTTAAATTTGCGGGGTCACATGTGGGTGGAGGGCGTCCCCTAAATTTTCAGCCTCCTAGCTTTTGTTGTTCCCGAGTTGAAAGTTGTGGACAAGTTGCTGCGGACGTACACACACAACCCCGTGACAATACGCGTTTTTATTTGCTGCTGTTACACAGCACAAAATGCATAAAAATACTGAAAGACTAAGAGACTGCTTAAAACTTACTGCAACTTGGCTTAGACCTAATGATGCCAAGGAAATGAAAGCAGAGATGAAGTCCCGCTATGATGGGAGTTGATGACTCGCTGCTTGCTTATTCGAAGCTATGCCTAAAAACTGCTAAACCCAGAACAAATCTTCTGTAATTGAAACGACTTCGTGCATCGTAAGGGAATTTTAAGAACAGTTGGTTCAGTATCAAGACGAAAAATCTTGCTTTCTTTATGAACGAAATCTTTTATGAAAAATAAAGAAATCTTTATGAATGATAAAGAATCGAAAGAAAGCTAACTTTTAAACAGTAAGCCGCTGCTATTCAAACTTGAAGGCCGCAAATCTTCATCAGACCCAAGATCAACGGGGATGCCTGCATGCCCGGAAGAATCTGTTGCATACGACGTGTATGGATCAAAAGCCACCTTAAATAAGCGAAGACTGCGGTTTAATGGCGATAAATAAGAAGGGATAGGAAAAAGCATTCCATCGAAAAGATCCAGCAGGAGAACAATTTCAAGGTCGAAAAACTTGTAGATAGAAGACGTCTCGTTTTTATCCCAGTGCTACAGCTTGGCACGGTCTTCGCTTCACGATTGGTTCTACAACCCACTTTCCCAAGAATCTGTTTTGATTACAATTCCATATGAGCAATTTACAAAGCAAGCTGAGGTAGTCAGCTGTGTAGTGAAGTATTTTGCGCAAAAGGAAGTATGAGCCTTCTAGCGCTTTTGACAAGAGCACTGCTATCTGCAATAAAAAGGATCCGGGAGTGGCGACGAGAGTATATAATAACTTATGAATGTCCGCCTTTTAGAAAAGCAGAAAGCGTAACTCAGTTTTGATCTTCTTATGAGCTAAAATACGTTATTTTTGGGATCTAGAGTGTTGAATTTGGCATCCAGTGCCCAGTTCACCTGTTTTTAAGGTAATTTCACGCTTCTGAACCGGAAGGTTCCTTTTCACTGAACTTCATACCTTCCTGAATATCTTCTTCCTGACTCAATTCTGCCCAGATGATACGGCTTCGTCCCACTCTTCGGGCTAAAAGAAGTGAGGCGCTTCATCACCATCCACCCCAATCACATTACACAGCAGAGATACTGCCGTGAGAAAGCAGGGTGTGATCCTTTTAATACGCAAAAGCCACAATAAAATGTTGAAAGATTAACAGAGCATTACTTTTGAAATCCAGCTTCTGTGGCCCTGGCCTCTGCAAATGACGCGCTTATCGATAACTGAATAGACAGTGATCAAGTCATCCTCGCCGCCGGTGGCTATGTACCTTGCATCGGGACTCCATGCCAGGCACATCAGTCCACCAAAATATGACTTCATAAAAGCAGTCAATTCCATGCTGTGGTAGCTGAAAATCCGCAAGAAACCATCCTGAAAATAAGCAACGGCCAGTGACATGAAAAGCATAAAGCAATGCGGAATTTGACACACAATGCGATTTTATGCTATGCGTTGTGTAGAAGCTGCACAAGAAGGCATACTGTCACGCCCCTGCTCGGGTGCACTTTGTCCCGGATTTTCGGCTCCGGCTAAGCAGCTGAAAATTTTAAGAGATTATTTCTTGTCCGCGTGCGACTTCGCAAGTTTTAATTTGGTTGTACACATAGACCTCACGTAAGGGCATGAGGAAATTTTGATGCCAAAATTACCGGCTCGGGAACCACAACAGTTAGGGAGTTAAAATTCTTACAGAATGCTCCCCGACCACGTGCCACTCGTAAATTTAAATTCAGCCTCCAAGCACACCCAGGCGCCTCGCACAGTATGTGAAAGTTTTGGCATGAGAACTACCAACCCGGGACCATAAATTCAAGTGGAAATTTTACCGTAATATTCGAAGCTTCTGTTTTGGGACGGGAAGTGAAACTTAACGCGATGAATTTTTATGCGCTTTTGCACGTATGCAAATGCAAAAACGAACATTCTGACGACTCATGGTGCGTGTGTGTGTGTGTGTGTGTGCACGCGTTTGTTCGAGTGTTTCAACTCGGCAACAAGCAAGCTTCGGCGCTAAAATTTTGCCAGTGGATTTCCCAGTTAAGTGCCACCCCTGGACCGCGAGATCAATACCCATGCATGTCTGAGCCCCGCGTAAGAACACTTCCAAATTTTGACAAAATTGCCAATTCGAGAAACAAAACAGTCGGGGGGTCGAAATTTTAAGGGAATGTCCCCATTCACGTACAACATATCTCAAATACAGCCCCAGGTGTGCGTGGTACTCAGGTGCGGGAACATGACAATTTTATCAGGAAAACTGCTAACTCGGGAACCGGAAAAGCTAGAAAGCTGAGATTTACCGGAATGTTCCCTGTCCAAGTAAAACTTGAAAATTTCAAATTCAGCTTCCAGATATGAGTGATTCTCACACATGGGCACTCAAAAGTATGTTAAAATTTTCAAAAAACGACCGTTCGACGGGAATGTTTCACGTTCCTTTATGAAAAATTTACCGATGATTTACGCTAGTGAGCGCACAAGGCAAGTGTAAAGCATGGACCACTTCTGAGTACTTCATGTTTAGTGCAAAAATGCATGATTCCACTGGCAACCTAGTGCGCTCCAGCCTAGAGTTTGTTGCTTCTCTCCAAAACTTCATTAAATTTTCTCATTACAC